TTTATAATATTAATTCTTCTGCGATTGTGAAAAAATAGCCATGGATAAACGCACACTCAAATGACAAGTATTACTTTGTCTTCTCTATAAACTTATTCTTTAATAATATATTCCCCAGCTAACAGGGTATTACAGAGAGGACAATCTTATGTGTGTATATCGGTTTCAGTCGCCCGTTTTGCCTGTCCTTTTTTCACTCTCTCTCTACCAGTTTTCCCTTTTTACCAAATTGAATTTTGGACATGGGACAGGGACCAGCAGCAGGACCCAGGTCCGGACATAGAACCCAAGAATTCAAAATGAGGACGAGGCCGAAACCAGGGGCCCGGCGATATGTTTATGATGCCACTTGTCTCTCTCGCTCTGGGAGATACAATTTGGTACGAAAATTTCTTGCATTTGCCGCTATCATATTTCAACGCGTGCCACTTGACAATTTCGTTGCTTCTAAATTTACACTGACATATTTCCTTGACACTGGGACCATCGACTTATTGGAAGGGACAAACTCAAACACGTGCAGATTGTGCACGTCCCTCCATCGGGGTCCTTTTTCCCCATTTTCTTCCTGCTCTGAAATCGAATTAAAAACTCATCTTTGCTCAATTTGTGGATGGTTCCTTGCCCCATTTCCCGCATACATACAAATACATATACGACGGGATATTGGAGATGATTTAGGCAGTAGGTCCTTTCCATTTTCATCCACCCTGCTGTGCCTGTCAATGTTCTTTCTCTTTTTTTATTGTTTTACTAGCAGAAAATCTGTTTTATTCGTACGTTTTATTGTTGCTACGAGTAATCTAATGTGTATTGCATTTAAGCTAATATTTGAGTTGTTCCCTGCTGTTGCCTGTCGTTGCTGTTGCTACTGCTGATGTTGCCACTGGTTCTCTCTGTTTTAATGCTCCCTTTTTACGATCCTTTTATGGCCTTTTTATTTGCTGGCCAAGCGCTGACCTGGCCCAGTGCCACTCCTCTGCCCGGAAAGGGTGCCAATTGTTGTGTTGCCAACTTTACTTAACTAATTTCCAGCAATTACAGACAGAATAAAAGCAGCAGAGCTTGGGGAACGCTGAGTGTTTCTGCTGGCTCCCCTTATTAATTATAACTTTTCCTTCAACCAATTGCTATATGTCTGAGGACTGAAAATACTCTGCTAAAGGCCAACCACCGATATCAATCATCATAAAAGGCCAGCCTCCTAACCTCCGCCCCTAACCCTTTAAGGACACATTAGACACACTTGGTTGACTGCTTTCGGGATTCTTTATGTTCGACAGCTCATTGGCTTTCTTAATCTTGGACCAGTTTGCCACCACTACACGAAAGGAGTCTGTTCGGTCCGGTCTACATCAAAGCGCAGAAACGAGCAACATCTGGAATGCAAACAAAGATAATCTTCCTTTCAATTTATTTACCTTTCGCTGACCAAAACAATTTACGATTTTAATCAAAACGGAGCCGTGCGAGTAGCAAACAGTCCGTGCTGCCATCAAAGCAAATAGTTGAGTTCCTGTCACTGGCCCTGAGCTGGCGGTCAAAGGCGGCTGGAGCCAAGGACAGACAGCTAATGTCCAGTGTCTAACCTAATTTGACGCTGACGAGAGCGAGTTGGAAGGCCTGTCAGAGTGTACTGCCAGACTGGACTGGAATGACTGACTGACAGAGTGACGGACATGCCAGTCTGTGCATAATGCTTATTACCGCAATCATTTACAGCACTTGGCCCTAAACGAATGGGGTACAGTCCTGTGTGTGTCCTGGGCATTGGCCTCTCTCCTTACTCTGGCCACCACCACTGCCACTGGTTGCTCTTTCATTCCATGAAGAATGCAATTTGCAATCTCCAGGCAGCCACTCGGCTCCCCCGCATATTAGTGAAAGTGTTGTGAACAGTGAACGGAATAAACAAGTGCGCGATGCCCAGCCCATTCCATCGCATCGCATCGCATCCCATGCCATGCCATTCCGTTGCATCTCAAATGGTTTCCAGCATACCAGCCTCTACACTGCGGAAAACTAAATGTGGTTTCTTTAAGGCACAACCTACCCAGATTTCTCATCTTCATTAGCTAATAGGATGTAAGACCAACACTTTCTTTCACTACCATTTACCATTTAAACGAATCATTTGGGTTGCACTAAGGGTTACGACCGTCTCAAAGGCATTTTTTAAACCTGCATTCACATCTCAACCTCTACCTTTATTTCATTAATTAAGCTCAAGAAGATCTCTTTCTGCTGCCGGAATAAGCATGAAAGATTTCTCTTTTCCAAGCTGCAATTTTTTTATTTCCAACTCAATAGAGCTTTGAGTATGCCGAGTATGTGCTTTGCGATTGGTATACGCTGCTGAAGCCACTTAAGATTAGATTTTCGCATGAGCCATGCTTGAGGTTCCTCTAGGTATTTATTCCGCCTACTTTTCTGGGAAATGCTCATCTGATTGAAGTTCGCAGTGAAGCGTTAACAAGAGTAATATGTATTAATATGTTCCCTTATCAATCCCCAACCTATATGAGATTCTCTTGCAGTGTACTTTCATGTGAAACAACGGAGTGCGTTGTTTAATGGCGATCTCATGGATGCTTCTACTCTCTCTAAATTGTTAGCACTCTCATGTGTGGCTGGGAATGTTTGTGTGTGTGTTTTGTATCTCAGTGCGTATGTGCGCAGATACTAGTGTATCGCAGTGTTCGCTTGTGTGGCAGTGCCATGTTAGCTATTATGAATTGTGCAATTGTCGTCAACGCCAGCCAACGCCATACGATGGTGATGCTCTCTACTTCTCCACTGAAACTCGTTGTCTGTCACTCCGTCTCTGTCTCCCCTTTCGCTGCCACAATGCCCCCGTTCTCTTTTACTGACGACACTTCTAGTGCTTGGGTTTCATTCCGATTGCCTGCTCATCAGTCGGAGCTCCAGTCCCGGACTCTTTGTTTGCACCGACGACGCGACGTATGGCTGTCTGTCCACGTTTCGCCTTCGTTTGCCAGCATTTGCCGCCATTTTTCAACAGACACGCGCTTGACTTGTTGTTGCTTCTGTTACTGCCTTTGTATACCCTTAATTTTTGGAGTGAAAGGGTATATTACGCAATCGTAAGCTACAAAGGGTCTACCTCCTTTATAAAACTTAATTGAAATGGTACAAAAATGTGGAATAAAAGTTTCCATTAATGCAAACAAAATTTAATTAATTCCGCTGATCAGGTATCTCTAGGGTATATATATATCGACTATAACATTTGACCATGTTTTGTTGGTACTATGCTTGTTTTAGTTCCTCCTCCTTCTCTATGGCACTCCTAGTAAATGACACTTCAACGTTTGTCGCATTTGTCTGGCTGCACTTTAGAGTGCCAAATATTTTTACATTTGTGAGCTGCCATTGCTCTTGGCCTTACACTCTAGCCCGTTCTTTGTACCAGTCGGGACTGCCACCCCCTGTCAGACATACATATGACGCATGTTTTGTTATTTCTTTGATATGTCTCCTAAAAATCCCCGTCAAGCCGTCCTGCTTGCCCATTTATGACTTTTGCAGCACTCTAATTAAGCTACCAAGTGGCTGCAATCCATCAGATATGAGAGGTAGAAAGTAGAGCAATTAATCAAGCCGGCAAGTATTTAATTAATTGAGGAAAATGGTTAAATGGAAATGAAATGTCTTCATTACGTTTCCCTGGGAAATACAAAATCTTTTGCACCGTCAAGAGCTGTATCGCTATAACACATTATGCGCTTTTCCTGGTCGCATCAAAGTCATCAAATGAGAATGAGCACAGCGACAGCAATCCCATTGGAGTGTGGTACATACATATTTGAATAACTGTAGCTAGTTTTGCATATATCATCAGTGGCAGCAGCAGCTGGAGTGGCAGTGGGAGTAGCGACAGCAATTGACAGACAGTTGCAACATCATCTGAATCATCCACACAGCATCAACTCAAAGACTTACATGACAGCAGTTGCATGCCACACATCTGATTTCATCTGATGAGTAGAGAGAGGGTCTGTCTTCCTGTCTATCCTTTTGATTGCCATCTCGCAATATGGAAATCTTTTATGCTTATGAATATGCACAGTGCATATCGCGAATAGAATTCCCTGTTTGTCACTCTCCGGCATTGATTGAAGTGTGAGTCCTGAATACGTATGTAGATATGTATATCCTTTTTTCATTATCGAAATTTACCCGAAGTAGTACTTATAAGCAGCTTTTGCTTGCTTTGATGATTGTCAAAAAACAATTTATTGATTTCTTGCTGCGCAAAAGAATGGCAGCCTGCCCCACAAGCCCTAAAGCATTTCTCACATGGAATTGTGAATGCTGTCGACAGTAGCTCTTAAGCATTTAAGCCATTAACACGCAAAGGTCGCCAAATAATATTGATTATAGCCGCTGGCCAGACGGTGCCCCTCCCTCTACCCACCCCCAACGACGACCCTCCTCCAGCAATGAGAAACGATAATAAGTAACAATAACAAACAATCGGCACAATGAACGAGAACCCAATGCCGAATAGGGAAAGGGAATGGGCTTGGTATTGGAAATGGGGTTGGAATCGCTAAGGGCTTGGCTGTGGCTGTATACTCAAACTGTTTTTGTTTAGTCTTTAAGCATCGAACAAAAGAGTAAAGAGCTCCAGGATATTCCGAGCATTCAAGTGGATTTAAGTTGTCTTAGCTTCAATCAGATTAAATAAACACTCAAATCAGTTTAAATTTGAACCGGTTTATATGTTAATCAGTTTAAATTTAAATGTATAAGATAAACTAAGAGAGAAATATAATTATTAATAAATTTAGAGATATTCCCATAAAGTCCTCATTGACTCTCCCTCTCTTTCTCCTTCTACTCCCACAATTTGGAAGTATTTTTCATCACTTGAACTCAACTTGTTTGCAATAGGCAAGGCTTTGATTATGATATATTTATAACATAAAAACCACTTTCACTGCCAAAAAAAACTCATATTTTAAGACATACAATTTACATGCAATTTGTATGCCAAACTCAAACTGATTGTAAAGAGTTTTTCACAATTTTTCCACTTATTTCGTTGGCTTCATATTCTCATTACAATAGCGACCTCAACCTTCCTTCTTCAAGCCTATTTCTGGCTCGTTTCGAGGGTTTCGAGTAGGACCTGTGAGGGGGGGCATAGAAAGCATAGTCGTTACATCAATCGATTGGTTCAAGAATGCACTCGAGGACTATCAAATAAATACTCGTACCATTCCTCTGGGGGCATGTAGATGTTGCAGATGCAGGCATTCACCAAATGTAGAATTCCAGCCAGAAGGCCAAGTCCTCCGGACACATAGAACATGTACTGGTACTCGTTGCCACAGTGATCAAACATGGCCACGAGTATGGTCAGGGAGGTGCAAATGCACACGATGCCGCTGGCCAGATTAAACGTCATCGCCTGTAGGACAAACACACACACACAAACGCACACAGTCATTGTTACATCATTCAGTAGGTGTCCAAGGGGCACGAAAAGGATACCCTCCAGCATATACGCACAATTGGATCGAGTCCTACAGTGAAGCAGCACAAGCGGCACAAGGCGAAGACCACTGTCTGAACGGTGATGACAGGCAAAAAGAAGACGCTCAACATCACGGAGAAAAGGTACTCGCCGCCTAGAACACAGGGTGTATAGATCACCTTGATTAAAAAAAACAGTGCCACAATCTCCACCACCTGCGAAGAGAGGGAGAGAGACATGGGACAGTGTAGGCGAAGTTCTGTGATAAACCGAATCGAATCGCCATCAGAGTTACCGCCGTGAAGAGTTGCAGCACCATGTTGACCAAGCGAATGGAACACTCAAACATATTTACAGAAAATTTTTACGGCTCGTTGACACTAGAAACAATTATTTTTTTTTTGCTTTGAAATGAAAATGGGGAAAAAGGGTCCGTCTACTTGGTAGTAACATTTTATTGCTCTCTGTGCGAAGGGTTTTTCTTTATTTTCCTCCTTTCTTTCTCTTTTGGTTCCCCTAATCTAATTGGCCTCGATAGCGATAGAAGTCGTTGCCCTTCGGTGCTGCTTTTGTTTGGACTAATTTCATTACTGGCGGAATGTGGCGATGATTTCATGCAATTTAAAGCGACATTTTTCAGTGGCAAAGCATTTAGCATACTCGTAATTGTCGCTCTGCGTACCTGACCGGGCGAGCTGGTCCCTTTTTGGAGCACCCGAGTGGTACCACTACAATCCCAGAGCAGTACTCGGGACTCCGGTGCCCCAACCCAGGCTTTTATAATAATTGCCTGTTGACACGGGATGGCCAGGAGACGCGGGCCGTAGAAAAGCCACAGAAATGGGTTTGGTAAAAGGAATGAAAATGTGGCATCTCGCTCTGGGAAATGCTGCTGATGTTTGAAATTTTTCAAAACGTGAATCAACAAAAGAGAACCAAAACAAAATAGTAGGACAAAAAGGTTTGTAAATATAATTTTATTTATTCACGTTTTCAAAAGGTAACCTCTTAACCCTTCTAAAGGTTTTGTGGTTAGTTTCACACATTTTCTCCTCTTTCTTGAATTATTTCTCAATTTTCTCAGTGATTTTCTTCTCATACAATTAATCTCTCATACTTTTAAATTGAGTTGTACTCAATCACAGGAGTCTGATAATTCTGATGAGTTCTGCACAGCGGAGTTATACTCGCCCAAAATACATAAATATTGCAATTCAATATATTTATAAACTTTTTTATTTTTGTGGGGGGTAAAGACAAAAACTTTTCGACTTCCGCGTAATCCAAGGATGTGAAGTGAAGTGCAGTCCCCAGAGAGAGTCCCCTGAAGACAGGGAGAAAGAAAGAGAAATGTACCCAAATAAACAACAGCGGAAACGTAGGCTATGATTTGCTTACTTGCCACCAAGAGCGTGAGGAGGTAGGTCGTGTGGCACTGTCTACTGGGACTTGAAGCAATGACATGGTTGGTGGTGTGGCAAAGGCAGAAACAGGAACAGAAACAGAGAAACATAAATCAAATGCATGGAAAATGTTGTACTTTCCGCACACATATCCTGGATCCTGGATGCAAGTGCATTGGGGCAGGCACAAAGGAGCGCCAATGAACAGGACAGGAAGAGAGAGAGCAACCCCAGGAACCCCAGGAACAAGACGACAGGAGAAAAGAAGGACAGGAATAGTACAAGGGGCAGTAAGTGTGAGTAAGAGTGCGTTGTGTTTTGTGCACATCCGTTAACTTTGTCATTTTTGCTCATTTCCTTCCGCTATGTGCAAGAAAACGGCAGCAACAGAAAAAGCAGGGAAAGCGGCAGGAAAAGCAGCAGCAGTGCCAGTGGCAGTGGCAGCAACGAAATGATTCCCAGCAGTGCTCCACTGAGCCACTGAGCCACTGACAAGTCGTAAGAAAAACAAACACAGCACCACACAACACAACAACTACACACACAAGGCCCAAGGAAACAAAAGCCATGCGGAAAGTGGCAATAAGTTGGGGGCATAACTTCTAGTGGCATCAACAGAAAGATAGATAGAGTGGGTGGGGGTGTGGTTGCGGGTGTGGATGGCTGCTTGCAGCCAACATGAACATTTTGCATGAAATTAGAGCCCTAAGACACAACCCACCGAACCGAATGCCGGAGAAGCAAAAAGTCTTGGGGTCTATAACTTGCTTCGAGGAATTTAATTATTTTCCAGTTGCTGCTCTCTCGAGTGGCTGTTACTACTCGCAACTTGAACACGGGGGTCTTATTTTTTGCACATTACAAGATGCCCCCTTTATACCGTCATTCCCTTCTTTGGAACCGCCGCCCTCCCTGGAGAATCGTGTGCCAAAAATAGGAAAACTTTTGCTGCAATTTTAATTCGCATTTATTGTGTTGACATGCTGCCACACTGCGTATACGTACATAGTATATCCTTGATGCAACCAAACAATTTATTTATTTAAGTTGTGTTGCAAGCATTGGAGGCAGCAGTGAGAGGAAACGGTGGTACGGGGTTTGAGAATGAAGCCAAAGAAAACTTTTCCCCTTATGTTTGTGTTTGAAAGCTGCAAAATATTTGTACACTTTTCTGTTCTTTTGTTGTTGTTTGCAGCACCACAGTCCATGTCCTCCCTCCAGAGTTACTCACCGTGTCTCCCATATCCGATTAGAGCTGAACAGAAGGCAAAATTGGTAAAAGTTGACCCCCATTCCACCTTAAGCATTACTCTATATCCCCTGGCACATGCATTCATTCAAAGTCAAAGCCACATTAATTAGCATGCTTAGCTGACTTTTATCAAAAAACCAATTAAATCTACAAAAGCCACATGCACACATCGCACACACACACACACACACACATGCAAAAAGTAAACTTGATAATTAAATACATGTGTGAGAGTGCCTTTGAGTTCAAAGTTGAAAATCAGCCAAAAACTCCAGGAATATATGTACATAATTTTTTATATTACTCAAAGGATACCCTAGGATATTTGAACATTGAGCCAAGGTCGAGCGGTCTTTCTGAATGGTGGTTAAATTTCGAATGGCCTAACGCTTAAAGCAAAATCATTTTGTTCAAGAGATAGTCCAGATAATGTCAAAAATTACAGGATATACGAACGGTCGACACAAAGAATTCGTCTCGATCTCAGTTTTTTTCATTTGCGTCACACGCGACACAACATATTAAAAAGTAGAGAAAAATGGGGAAATGGGAGCAGCATAAAAATTACAAATAACATTATTAACGTTAAATTAAACTTTGGAAATTTTTGTTTATCCAAAGCCCAAGGACCGAGGACCAGACGACATGCAGGAAAACAGGAATGAAGCGAGTATAACTTTTGTGAGTACATAAAATAAAAGTACATTAAAACTGGAAGGAAGGCGGAAGCGAGCGAACCAAAGCTTGTTTATTTTTACCATAATTTGCGGCTCTACCTCAGTCTCTGTCTCTAAATATAATCAAAGCCTTCAAATAAAGTCACAAGGGGTGGTGATGACTGTAGTGACTGCATATGTACATTCCCTTGTGTGGGGTTTAGTGGGGGGATATTTTACCTACTCAACTTCTGTGAAAATGTCATGTTTCTCTCTCCGTATCTGATTTTTTTCTGGTTTTCTTCTTCCCACTCGCCCCCACACTCTACTCTATTTTGCTGTTCGTATTTGTCAAGCTGCAAGCGTATGCGTGACACGTAGTAAATTAAATGTGAAACTCTGTAGCAGAGTGTAGCTAACTGTAAGTTTAGTTTGAGGGTAAGTGTATGTGTTTGAGTGGCTACAAAGAATGCTCTTCATGCTGTTCAGGCACCGTACGTACTCCTTCGCCCCCTAGTCCACTTTAAGGGCTATAAATCATCAAAGTTCAACGTTTGCCATTTTGTCGACAATGTAAGAGAGTGAGAGAAAGTAAGAGAGGAGCGTTTGTGTGTGTTGTATGAGTGTTTGTACCCAAATGTGTTTGCTTTGCAATTTCCTTTTATTTATTTAAAGTTCTTTAGCAAACATTGCGCTTCCCCCTCTCACACTCTGCTCACATTAAGTTTTCTGCCAAAAAGTTTTCACGAGTAATCTTTTAATTAAGTGCCAACTCTCCTCTCAGACATTTCTCCACTCTCTCCAGACATGCAGATAGTACAAGCCAAGGGAATTATGAGAGCAACAGGAAGATACACAAAAGCAGACAGACAGACAGAAAGAGCTGATGTTTAATGGCCGCAGAGAGCGAATGTTGGAATCAAATTTGATTAATGGACAAAATGCCAGGCTCAATTAGTGTGAGACACAAAAGAAAAAAAGTATGGGCATTAACCGTTGCCTTAAATTCATAGCGCGCAAAGAGCGGCACAAGAAAGAGCGCCCCTAAATAAACAGCATGAAAACAACAACTAATTGCACCACAAACGACAAACGTGAACGAAAGGGGGAGAAACGCTGAGAAAGGAGCACGAAAAAACGAAACAGCGCCAAAGAGAGCAAAGGCAAGAACAAAAACCAAAGAAAATAGCAAACAACATACAACGGAAAGCAACAAAGAGCAAGAGAGAGAATGCTGCAAATATTTCGCAACTAATAAAAACATTGCAGCGTACTAAATCAAGTGGAAAACTGTAAAGAAAAACCCCAATGGAAGGTTTGAGCAGAACAAAAGAAGCAGCACAAGAAACGCTCGTGAAAAAATGTAGCACAGGAAGAAAATAAATGTGAAATATGGTTAATAGTTACCCCGAGGTGGCACAGAAATAATAGCAGCTGACATTTGACATTAGTTTTCCAGTGCGAAAAGCAAGGTGAGCAAAATGCTTTCAGTTTTCCTTTCGCGCTTAATTAAAGAGATTGTCGGGAATTATAAATTGTGGCACTAAAACAACACTAACGACGCGCGGGATCCGATCCGTCTTCAGCGGCACTTTTTGATAAACGACGTGCTCGAGAGAGGATAAGTGCTTGGTGGTGTGCATTGTATGTGCCAACAAAGGGTGAGGCATTCCAAAAGAGCACTCGCATGATCGCTCTCTGCAGGCAGGCGCGCAATGTATATGTATGGGGAACCTGTGTCTGACAGACCCTTTATGAATATGCCTTGCTAAGCTGTGCTGCGATTTTGTTCTTCTCTTGAGCTGTCTCTCCCTCTTTCTAACTTGAGATTGAGAGAGCACCGTTGCTCACGCGTTTTGTTTATTCCAGACATACATATGTACATATGTATATGTATTTGTTGCGACAGTCCTATGCACTAAAGGTATTAATTAAACAAACAAGGTGGAATGTATGTATGTATGTATGTACATGTATACATATGTACATACAATGTGCATATCTAAAAACTAAAATCACGTTAATAATAACAATACGCTAAGGTGATTCTTTAAAACTTTGTGTAGGTACTGCTATTCATTTAAATTTGTACCAAATCTCTGCCAGCATTCGGCATGCACTTGCCATCACTCACTAACCTCTAACCACGCAACAGCTGCTGTTTCACTGGAACGTACAGCCTTCACCCTTCATTTCTATTTCATTCACTCTCTTCATTGTTTTTCCGTTTTTGCAGTGGATCGCATTTCACAGAATTGCAAATTTGAGTACACANCCAAAAATTTAAAATTTTGGAACAAAATTTTTTTTTTTTTTCCCCCCCCCCCCCCCGTCACGTAATTGGACTCCCGTCTCAATTGGTCGAAAAGCGCCTCTTCAGTTTTCGACCTTAATTGCACTTTGGCAACGTTTTTCGTCCTTGTTTGTGTTTGACCAAAATTGTCTACCACCCCAAGCTGATTGATTGATTGATTGATTGAATGATGGATGGATTGGCTGTTATCCAAGGGCATAATATTTGCATAGATTTAACTAATTGCTAGACAAATAAGAGGAGAATTTTCTGCTGCAAAATGGACAGGAAAATTCAAATTTTCATATGCTCTTAAGTGCATTTGTGGTAAAATGTTGGTTTGTTTTGCACTTATTAGTACAAAGAACTTAAAGACTTTTATGGTATTAGTTTTTAAGATACCAAGTCCCGAAAGTTCCTTTATTTTGAGCTAACGAAAGGACCTGTTTCCGGAATTAAAATTAGATGAAAGACCCAACGACAATCATAATTAAATTGCATTTTCAAACGCTTTCAATTAGCAGGAAAAACAGCTCCAAAACATCCACAACAATTGAGGGGAAAATGTCACTGTCAAATGCCCCTTCTTAAGTTCAAAAGTGCAAACAATGGGTGAAAGAAAACTTGGTCAAAGTTCAGCGATAACTAAGGATACAACAGCTGCCTTTAATTAAAGCGGAAAACTCTTTGCACTCTCCACTTAAAAGAGGTGGGGGCATCCACTTTTCGAAGATAAACGACACTTTTAACCGAATTTATTTTTGGCCGAACACGAAGTGGACCTCAACCTCAAAGTTGCTTTAGTTTTCTGGGGGCGAAGGCCTCATAACACACATTTCAATTTCCTGACCATGAATAATGGCAAATGTCCAAAAGATGCTGGTTATACGAGACCCCATTTATTAGCTCTGAAGGATATATATACGTACGTACACTCCAGAATACACTGAGGGAAACCAGTCAAGATGTTTATGTTTAGCTGCTCGTACGAACACGACAATACAATTATTTTTTCCCTTTTTTTCAAGCTTGTTTGTCCAGTGTATAAACTATTGACCAAGTCCCAGGGCTAGGGGGAAATGTTTTGGGGCCAAGTTTTGTGGCTGGCTAATTGAGTTAATTGTGGAAAAATTAGGCTCAATGTTCGGGGCCACATTGTCTCGGGGCAATTTAAAACGTATTGTCTGCCATCGATAATGAGGCGATGGAAAGAGAGACAGATGATTGACCAAGTTGATCATTCAATTATGACCGGCAGCTTCAATTTTTTGACATTAAATGCAAAGTGGTTGAGTAATATTTTAAGCGTGTGTGTATGCCAAATGATATTTTCCTGTAAACTGACATGTGAATATGTAGGCAGTTGCGGTGCGGCGTGGTGTGCGGTTTAGCTGAATGACAAACGAGACATTGACATGAAAATTCACTTTTGAACACAGGCCCAGAGATGGATTTCTATACACTTAATATATGGCAGCATGTTAATATCCATCCACTTCTGTCAGTTTTGTCCCCACACATTTGTCAGGAACACACAACATGAATGACACACAGTTTGAGTGTATGTATTTATGAATTTATATATGTATATCACAATTTATGAGTATAAACATACACATTTTTGGTCAATTTAAGCCACGCACAAAACCCCATTTAATTTTGAATAAATATTAAGCGAAGGCCTCTTCATTATCGACAAACAAATTGTTGAGTGTAATAATTGATATAAAAACTAAATAAATAAACGAAAATTTAATTACCTGATGGCTATTTGGCCTGGTGGGACGTCTGTTTTAATTGCTATCGACGACAAGTGTGGCCCAAAAATGACAAAAGAGAAAATGTTCAACGGTATTATTATTTTTATCAATTAATAATGGGGCAACAATACAATTGAATGGATGAATATGTATGAACCGCCTGCTGTAGCCCTGTGACGTGCTCGTATGGTGGGCCAAGAAAATGTACAATTCAATCAGAGGCCACAGCAGTACAGTGTGAAAACCGCTGGGCAGCAGTGGGAGGAACAGCTGAAGTGAATGCTGTGGCAGGAACGGAGGCAGAATCAGCGGCTGTGGCTGAAACAGGAGCGGGACCAAAGGCTTTGGGGGGAACAGGAGCATGAGACAGCAGCAACAGAAACTGAAACACCGCATCCGCAATCACTAAAAATTAATTTCAATTTTATTGCACAAAAAGTGAATCAACCGCAACAGCAACAGACGCAGGGGCAACATTCAAGGAAGGGGAATGCTCTCGTAAAATAGATGATGGTGGATGAGAAGGCAAAGTTGTATATAGATAGGTTTGAGCGTGTCCAAAATTGGGCAAAATGTATGGGCTATCAGACACCTTGGATATCATCTAGAGAGATTAGCTGAACCAAAAAGTTTTAGGAGTTTAAAAGGAGATTGCTTGGTAGGATTATAGTAAGAAGTATCCACATCTAGATAGTGTCAGCAGCTCAAACCTTAATCTCTTGATTCCGTACAAGAATATATCACCACCTTCCACCAATCTGTGTGTATAGACAACGTACCATAGCATGCTACCCGTGCTACCCGGGTATAAAAACAACGCTCAAGCCTGGGCCAAGCGTCGAGTAAAATATGCAGATCAACTGGGGTCTGTCCGGGGGAGAACTGAGTGGGAAAGTGTTCAGAAGGAAGTGGAGGTATATTCAGTATTTTCAGCCAAAAGCCAAACATTTATGAAAATGCAAAAGCGTTTTTAAGGTTTACCTCACAGGTAAACCTGGCGCTGCAGCGGCACCAACTGCAGAGCGCTATTAATGTGAAGCAAAAAAAAAAACTGGCTAAAACTGGCTAAAACTGGCAGCCAGGGGTCGGAACCACCAAAAAAAAAAAAAGATGGAAAACGCGAACATGAATTGCGGTTTAAGCATTGAATTATGAATATTTCCTTGCCTCGACCCCGACCTGGTTTTCTGTTGATTCCACCCTCTGTTTGGGCGCCCGCTGCCAGGGGAACATTTATCATCGTGGCAGTCGGAGATTCTGATTAAAAGCGAGAAATGTTTCGCAATAGTTTCCCCCGAAAGCCTCACCTAACCCAGCGAAGCTTTCGAGTCGACTCATCTCCAACTACCACTGATTCAACAAATGCTAAAATCGCAGCACATAAAGTGTACGTAACGCATCAGGCAGCAAAAAGGGAGGAGGAATCCTCCTTCTGTATTTTCTGGTTTTAGATTATGGAATTTTGTGCAATTTACTCGGGTTCTTTTCTTTTTCATTTCCTGCTGCTGCCATATTTTGAATGATGTTGAATGATGATCATAATGAGGACGCAAAGTCGCATTCAATTTGTTAAGCAATTCATTTGGTTCTTATGCTAAATGGCAATGGTATTATATAAATTAGACAAAAGCCGAAACTTTTCCAACGTAAGCACCAGACGCGATACCCAGGAACCCAGGCATTATAATTGGCACAACTTTTGCTCGGTTAGCATGAAAACTTATTTATTTCAACGCAATCAACATACTATACCCAGAGAAAAGAGCACAGACAAGAGGCAGGACGAAAGGACAGAACGGGCCAACGGAAAGACAGATACACAGACGGACGAGGCAGACCGAAGAGTGGAAGTTATAGCAATTAGCGGACTCGAGTGAATAGAGCCAAAAGGAATTAGGCAGCAATCCAGACACAGCTGTAGCCTGACAACGGCACAGAGCACGCCACAGTGCCACAGCGGCAGTGGCACAACCACGGGGAAAAGTGGAACAGCAAAATGGCAGCAACAAATGCGCCCACGATGATACTCATAAGTAGGGACGAGTGTGTGCCATGAATGGAAGGTTAGCTTAAACAAGTACAGTACAGTAGTCTGGGCATTAGCCATCAACAGCCCTCACTAAACCGGTTGTGTTCCAGTTGCATTAGAAACTCGGAGATTTTGTACGTGATTAACAATTAACAAACAGTGCGCTTAGTGGGGCACAATGTGTGAGGACTGACTCTATGATTAAAAATGATTGACTGAAATGAAGTGCAAATAATATTACTTTTTTCGAGTCTCATTCAGGTGTTTCATTTGTAAATGAAGTAAGTTACCTACCCTTACCTAAGAATTATTTTCTAAATATATATTTCTGGAAAAAAGTGCCCTAAACAGACGTGACTTCCTTGTAATACCCCTAAAGATTTATGGCTGAAAAACTTCAAATCTCTGAGAAACCATCATCAATTAACCTTTTAATGCTGCTCAGTAATCTATTTAAAGACAAGGGAAAAAATCATTAGCTTAATTTCCTGTTTGCTTCATAAATTTAAACGTGCAACATGCCCCCAGCTGTCCAAATCGATCATTACCGGCGATGACCGGATGAATGGGTTCTCAGAGCCTGCCAAAAGTAGGCGACACTTTTCCACCGTTCATATTCATAATATATATTCTGAAATAAACTTTTTGTTTATATTGATTTATTGAATTTTGTCACTTTTCAGCCGCTGACGGGGCGAACCATTCATTAAACTCATTAAGTGGTATTCATTTATTCCCTTTACGGGTGGACAGCCACCGCTAAATTTCACTCGTTTTTCCTTGATGTTTTTGGTGTACTTTTTTTTGCTAACAAATTTAAACATTTAATTAAGTCAGCAGACAGCGATATAAATTTTAAAATTTATGCGCTACACACATTTGCATAATGCAGCGCAACAAATCATAAATCAAATGTTTATTAATGCATAGACGCCCGCATATTCCCTCCGAAAAACACCACAGCTCCAGTCCGCATACATAGTATGTCCTTCCCCACAGTGCGTACATATATCCTCTTAAAATTCCGCTCTGCCAACATTATTGCCATCCATATCAATATCATTTTTGAGTTTTAGACACGACGGAATGGTTTTGTTCTCATGAATTATGGGGAAAACAACTCAATCAAAAATCGAAACAAAAGCCGAGGAATAACCAGCGGAAAACCGGGAAAATAGAAACAAATGAATTAGCCATATCTATGGCGGCCCTGACAGTGTCTCTCTATGTGTGCGTGAGTGACGGCGTGATAACGCGTTATTACACTATAAAATCATTAATATGGCGGCTCTAATGGCGCTGATATGTAAATGTAGGACTCCCGTCTACTGTCACGCAAAGCTCTTGTAAAAATATTCAAATACATAGAGATGTACATATATATGTATACACGCTCGAATGTAGACAAGGAGCGCAGAAATGTGGCATTAGCTGACAGTCTTTGGCAACGCCTACCATTTGCAGCCATTACCAAACACTTTGGCCATAAACTGACTTACACACACAGTCACAGAGGCAGAGAGCCACACAAACGGAGAGACATGGAGAGAGAGAGAGAGAGAGAGTCCCAGGATATGAGTGCCGCCAAGGCAACGGAATCTATTAGTTTGTCGAGGCTTGGCTAAAATTTCAGGAGCACTCAGGGAAAAAGGCCGGGAGAGACAATTCCGTAAATTTGATATGCGCAATTTGTTAGCAAACGAGCAGAGCGCACAGAGACACTCAAATCGACTCTGGCGAAGAGGTATGAAAAGGCAGAGACAGCGGGAAACGCGCTAGACCTAGGCACAGCTGTTGAATAGCTATGGCTGATATTACACGGTTCCTACTGCACCGACATAATAAGAGGCCATTCATACGCTTCGTACTTTGCATTTTGCATCCTACTTGGCATGTGCCATTGTTCGTTCAGTTTATATTATTTCATTAATCATCATCGGTGGAAAACGTGTCGTATGAGAACAGAGACTCTACGTAGCTGTGACAAAGGAGTGTTTCATGTAACTACCGCCCCTGGCAACCTGTTGCCGCTTACGCACTTTTATGACGTGACGCCAGCAGGCAGCGGGTGGTGTCGCTGGTGGTTGCGTGCTTCTGCTTCTGATTCTGCCACAATCACCTCCTGCTGCAGCCACCACAAAGTCGTCACCATAAAACGTAATATGCCACATGACTCGCTGATGGAAAGCACACAGCCATTTCCACTGGAATTGTATAACGTATAGGAGTATACTCGTAGCTGCTGCATTGAGGCAGAAAAATGCGTCCTTCAATGCTTCTAAGTTTTCTCCGATTAAATCTCGTTTTTCAGCGAACAATTTGCGTTTTGTTTATTCCTCTTTTGTACTGAGTTTCTGATTTTCTGAAAATGCCAACAAGATATGCAAGAACTCGACCCCGGGAAGGGGAAACTTATAGTTTTATACTTGGGCAAATCTCGGGACGAGACAAAAGTAGTCAACTCTCGACTTGCAAAGTTTCCTCTTGGACAGCCGATTGCATTTGGCCAAGAGCAGCATCAGGCAACAGCAGCAGCAGCAGAAACAACAAAAACTGCAATTGAATTTTATAACAAACAATTTTACGCTTTAAGCACACTAGAATTTGCTTTTGTTGTAGCTACCAATGAGGCAGCCAGCAGCAGCCCAGTGCCGTGAAGTGCTCTCCGACTCGAACCAGGTCTCGGACTAAGCTTTCGGTCTCCGGATTGCAGACTGCAGACTGCGGATTGCCTCATTGACTTTGCCTTTGGCCAAAGCAATTTTCTACTACTTTTTTTCCCTCTTCTATTTATCGTTATTTACCATTAGCTGCTGACCGCCTCGCCAGCACCCGTATCCCTGTAACGACCACAATAAGCATTTCCTTCTTTTATTTTTTCCTCTCTCTCTCTCTCTACCTCTTCGTTTTCGGCTGCACTGTGGGTAATCGCTGCACAAAGTTCCACAAACACACAAAAAAAAAAAAGAGAACAAAATTGAAAACAAACAACTACGAATGATTGAGTTGCATAAGCACAAAACTTATCCAAA